GGCGCGCTTTGTGCGTGCGGCCCGGGCGGCGACGGCGGCTCGCCACCCGCTGCCCTCCCACCGCGGGGCCAGTCGGCCGGGCGGGCCGGACCGTGTCGGGCGGCGGAGACAAAGGGAAAGTCGGGGCGGCCAACTCGGCGCCGCGGAGGCAAGGCTGGCCCGCGCCGGCGGCCCGCGTCGTGACCTTTTGCTCCCGGAGAGAGTGGCACCATCTTTATGGAAAAGTTGGCCGGACCGGCGCGCTCTCGGCGGACAAAGCCGCTCGCCGCTCGCGGGGGGCGCGGGGGCGCAAGTTTATCCCGGACACAGCCGCACGGGCCGGGACGGCGAGTTGGCGTTCTTTTGTTCGTGGTGGTGGCCTTCCCCTCGCTCGTGGCCAGGATAATTTGTCCTGGTTGCACCCGCAAGGTGGACCCGGGCTTTCCGGCGAGAACGAGCGCGGGCGCCGCGGGTGCAGAGGCAGCGTGCTCTCTGGGTGAAGGAAGCGGCCGGCGTGGAGCAAACTGCTCGCCCCGCAGTTTTTCTCTGAAATTAGCCACAGGAGAAGTAGCTGCTGGGACTTCTAGACCTCAGAAAGTGAAGGTGTTGTGAGGAGCTGATGCATAAGGCTTAATGATATGGTAACCTCCGGTAATGCCTGGCTATTGCTTTTCTTTATTATTCTTGCGTTTTAGGGGGTATTGGTGTAAGTAAACTGGGTTTGTGTGAGAGTCCTCAGATTGCATGCAAGAAGTATGTGTTGTGTACCAGCAAGGTTCAAGGACCAAGTTTGGCCCTGGGGACAGATAAGTACATTAGAGCATTCCAAGTAACTTCCAGGCTTACATGGAGGTGTGTAGGAATTAATGATACAATTTATTGAGCACCTGCTGTGTCCCAGGCACTGTGCGAGCCTTCAGAGGCGTTACCTCAGTACTTCCAAATACTACTGCAGCAGGTACTATTATTTCCTATTTAACAGGTGAAGAAAATAAGACTTGGTAGGAGTTAAATGACTGATGAGTTGTAGGCCTAGCACTTATTCAGTGTATGGCACATATTAAGTGTTTAATAAATGGAGCAGTGAATGGTCTCTGATGACTCCGATTCCACAGGCAGCTAGTGGGCTTGATGGAAGGCGTGTCAGCCAGTGACAGCCGTGTTATTGAGTCCTTATTTGGGCCCTCCATGCCACGGTGAGTGAGTTTACTCATGAAAGCCTGCTAGTAGTCTTATGTAGCTTCTGTTATATCCTCATTTGCAGATGAGGAAACAGGGACAGTGAGGTAAAGATGCAGCTGGTATGCTAAAGAACCAATACTTGCCAAACCCATCTTGTATCTGGGGTGGTCATTTTAGGTTTTTGTGTTTTTTTTGGTACCGGGGATCGGACTCGGGACCTTGTGGTTGAGAGGCAGGAGCCGGAATCACTGATCTAAATCCCCGGCCCTCATTTTAGGTTAATAAAGGCTCTCTTGGGCCGGGGATTTAGCTCAGTGGATTCGCCGCCTGCTGTGCAAGCGCAAGGACCCGAGTTTGATCCCCGGTACCCCCCCCCAAATATAAATAAATAAAAAAATAAAGGCTCTCTTTTAAGATTTTTGATTCTAGGTGTTTGTCAGAGAGTTGCATGATAGGGAGAGTCTCTTCTGCAGTGCCAAGGATGCTGGCCCACTGGAGGTGGGTAACCCTGTCGCGAGAGTCTGGGAAATTGTTACTGGGTGAGGGTTCACCAATTGCCAAATTGATTAGCCAAGCTGACCCTTGAAACTTATGTAACTGCATATTCTTTCTTTTTTTGAGCTGCAGATAGTCAACACATTTTCACACTAAAAAGAGCAACTAAGGTAGTGGAATACATCTTTCCATCCTCTATTTTGTAGGTCAGAAAGTGAAGGCTCCTTTCGTGGTGCTTAAATAGATGTCCACGTTCGCTTCGGATCAGAGGCCAAAGAGGTGCATAAAGGTCAGCAGGTGTGGCTTTCCAGGCAAATTCTGTGCTTATCTATCAGGTGGCTAGGTGGCTACTATGTATCTCTTCCTTTAATCTTACTTGATTTAAAAAATAATATATAGGCATTCACAATTTTAAAAAGTCAGTTAGTGCTAAAAGACATTTTAAAAAGCTCTTTCCGGGCCTGGGATTTAGCTCAGTGGTTCCGGCACCTGCCTCGAGGAAAAAAAAAATGCTCTTTCCTCCTGTCTTTGTAGAGCGACTGAAGGGATTTGGAACTCACATGTTTACTTCAAATAAATGTTTGTGTTGTCTTTATTTACCTATTTTAGGGATTACCAATGCACTTCCGCAGAGAATAGATGAGTTTTTTTTTCTGGTACTGAGGATTGAACCCAGGGCTTTTGTTCCCTTAGCTGGGTGCATAGCATTTTCCTAGGATTCTCCCTGCCGTTCCTCCAACTCAGGTGCTGTCTGTCTGTCCTCCCTCATGGTGGAATGTTCTCCAGTAGCTTTCCAAGAGCGGAGCTGTGGGAGGCAAGCTTTGGGGGCTTGGATGTCTGAAAATGTGTTTGTTCTACCGCTATACTTGAAGAGTAAGTTTGAGTAGGGGTGGAATTCCTCTTTGGAAGTAATTTTTGTTTTTAAATAGTCTTGTATGTAGTTTGGGCTGGCCTTGAACCCACTATGTAGCCCAGGCTGGCCTCAAACTTGCAGCAATCCTCCTGCCTCAGCCTCACAAGTGCTGGGATCACAGGTGTGCGACACCCCACCTGGCTTGGTTGGAAGTAATTTTGAATGATTTTTCCCCCAATGCTGGGGATTGAACCCAGGGTGTCTAGCATATTAGGCAAGCTCTCCACTACTGAGCTCTGTTCCTAGCTCATTGGAAGTCATTTAAAAGTCTTGGCCCCAGTATTTTTCATTGCTGGTATTGAGAAGTCCAGTTTAATTCTTAATCCTTCCTGTTATTCCTCCACCAAACTTTTAGGATTGGTGTATCCTTGATTTCCCTAGTGTTCCTGATATGCTTAGTGCTAGCCCTTTTCCTTTGTCATGTAGGGTTCTAAATATGAAATCTGGAGCTTGATGTCTTTCATTATCCCCGGCTGTATTCTTTATTCTTTTCTTTTCCAGTTTCACTTCTGTATTAGTTGCCCCCCCCCCTTTTTTTTTTTGGTATGGGGGATGGAGCTCAGGGCCTTCGAGCTGAGCTATATACCCAGCCCATTTTTATTTTGAGGCATGGTCTTGCTAAATTGCCTGGGTTGGACTGGAACTTGTGATCTTCTGTCTCAGTCTTCCAGAATGCTGGGATTACAGGCATGTGCCACCATATATTCTTTTGATTTAACCTTTTTTTTTTTTTGAGATAGG